GTTATTGTGGATCTTAACAGCAAGGCTTGCTTTGTGAACAAGAGAAAAGTGTAAGATAAAATATATGCTGTCATTTATAGTGTGTTTGTTTTATCCCTAATTATCATGAACAATGGACAGAGTCATGTGGAGGAATTTAATTTCTGTTACCTTTAGGTATGTCAATAAACCACCTGAAAGTTCTTTAGCATCACCCAGGTATTGAATGAGTTCTGCATTTAGGCCCTAGTCAGAGGGAAGGTCCGATTTGGCCAATACGTCTCCCTTTGACAAAGAGCAGAACTAGGTTGCCAAGATAAACTAGATGATCTGATCCTCAATTAATGAAGACACATGTATTGAAAACCAATAAACTAATAAATGATTAAATCCAGCAAATTTATTTGAATTGCTTTAAAACCACAGTTTTTGTATGTTTATCTTATAGTAGTGAAGTAGTAGATATAGAAGAAGGTTCTGTAGGTTAGGGGGGTTGCATAATGATAAGAATATTTTGCGTTTGTCTTGATTGAAAGATTATTTGAGTCAGAGCACAGAGCAGAAGGAGCCTCCAGCTGTAAAGAGTGGTTTTCAATATGGCAGGACAGGAAGTGTCTGTTCGAATATTTATGTGTTGTCTAAACAATGGGCCTTAAACCATGGTTTTGCTCTTCTGGAGTACAGTGATTAAAGAAAAAAATAGTTCAGTGCTAAATATTCCGTGGATAATTTTGCTTCCTAGAAGAGGAAGGAGAAGGTGAGAAAAACATGACCATGAAAAACAACCAAAAAAACCACAAAACTAAAAAACATGCTGGAGGCAGTTTAACACTCCAAAGTGAAAAGTATTGGGACTGGAACCAAATGTACCTCTCTGAAGGTGGCAATCATTTTCGAATTAAAATTGAAACTAATATATTGTACTTCTAATTCAGACAGTGCCAAGAACTAAGAAATTACAGAACTGATTGCAGCAAACACCTACTGAGGCTGGTGAACTCAGATGGTGCTGTTAAGGACGCAATTACTACGGCTGCAGAACTGTAAAGTCTCTCTGGGGGTAGTGTGGTTTTTGTACTTCTATTTCTCTTCTTCTCTTGAGAACACTGGTTTACTGTTGTGGTGTACCTGTAACAATAGGGGGATCAGAATGCTGAAATGAGTTTAGCTGGAAGGGATACATAATGTCAGGTGGAAAACAACACTTGGTAAATATGTTTTGGCTATGGTTCAGCAAAAAGCAGATCCCGCCAGCTAAGTAACGCTCTGATTTCTTGAAAGTGTCTCTTAGTTGAGCCCTATACTCATCTCTGCCTTTTTTTATTTTGTTTTGATTTTTCAAAAAGAATGCTGTTCTGTCTTCAGTGCTATAGAAGGGGTTCTGACAAGGCTAGTGTGGATCATGTCAGTTTTCAGTATGTTTATTCTCCAATGCACCCTTCACATGGGAAAATGCTGTTAACCCTTGTTGAGGTGGGGAAATGAGACATATCTAAGTGCATCTGTGCTGTTCTTTGGGCCCTGGGGGAGGAAGTAGCCTTCACAAGTCTGTATTATTGTGGGATGTTTGGTAAGCAATTATTCTGTCTACCACATCTGCCCACGTTGGATTGGTTTGGAAGGGACCTTTGAAGATCAGCTAGTCCAACGCCCTGCCACAGGCACTAACCCAGGTTGCTCAAAGCCCCACCCAGCCTGACTGTGAACACTTCTAATGGTGAGGCATTAAGAGTGAGAGGCATTCTCGTCACCCTTGAATTAAGAGGTTTTATACGCAACGCATACCTACTGTCATACAGTGCAGATGTTTTCAATATTAGAACCTGCACTGAAGGTCCTAAAGCTGTGAAAAAAAAATCTGGAGATATGCATTTCTGTCTGTAGGTGGTAGCAACTGTGGAAACTGAGCTTTTTTAGAAATGTAGAAACAACGTCCCAAAGCAAACATTCCAAATTACAAATAATTTGGCCTTGCCTGTAAATTGGGAGAGCATTGTTGTGTAATACGTTGTAACCTAGGAAATTTTCATACCAACGGTGCTGTGTTTTAGATGGCATTCAGAATAGCAGTCTTGCCAGAGGAGATGTCAGACAATCCTCCTGTTCTTTCTTCCTTGCTCTTGCTGAAGCACCAAACCATATGGCAAATTAAGCCTGATTTGTATTAAACTTTTCATTGTACTGAGCTTAGTGTGAACTGGGAAATGCACTTTCTTTGAACTATGCAGCCATTATATAAGCTTCTTAATTAGGAGATGTTAATGTTCTTCTTTACATTCATGGGAGTATGTAGCTCCCTCTTGTGGCTAATTAAACATTTTAAAAATATCATACTGAAAATTACTTTTTATATTACCACCGTTGCATTAGAGCAAGTGATGCAGTGGTATATGGAGCATCTCTAACCTGGGTTTCTTAATACTCCATCAAGCATGAGTTGCTGTGCAATAACTAGATGCCTAACTGACTAAATAGATAGGAGAGAAGCCTCTGCACATGCTTGAACCAGGACTGTGCCTGCTTCCTGAAGCTTTAAAAAGGTTCAGCAGACACATCCTGTCATTTAGACAAACAAACAAACAAAAAAACAAACAAAAAAACCTCTGCTGTCTGGTAACTTCACTGACCCTGTACACTGTATGCTGAGGAATGGTTGCAGTTAAGGTTGGGATGAGATATGGGATGCAATGTAGCTCCAGGGAAAACAAATCTTTCAGGTACCACATTAGGATGTATTGCTAGCAAATTCAAGATTAAGGTCTTTGTCAGATTTGGAGCAAAGAGTAAGTTTTCGCTCCAGTCAGGCTTGTAGGGATACTTCTTACTGCTATTATTATTACTCTTCTGCCTTTCTATCTAGTGTGAAGAAGGATCTGTACATAATTATCTGGAATTTGTCTTATAAATTCCCTTGCAGAATATCAGTAATGTCCATGACTTGTTGTGCTTTCTTTCTGTGGCTTCTTGCAGTTGGGGTTTTGGCCTATCCTATGTCTCAAATTTGTGATGAACAGTTAGGAAATGTTATACCGCTGTGGTGGGATAGGACTCTTGTGTAAACATCTCTGAATTAGATTTTTGTGCTGGTCTGTGGCTGAAATGGTGCCTTTCAAACCACTCTTCTTATATTATATGTAAAGGAGCGCTTATTATAAGAAGTCTCAGAAATCAGGACAAAGGACAAGTAATTCAGCTTTTCCTACAAAAGTCAGCAATGGTCATGACACTGCAAAATCATAACCATAATAAGGAAATAGAAAACCATACTTTTAAACCTGATATAACAAACGAACAAAACCACAGATTGGTCAAAATATGTATTGAATATTGGGTAGCTTTCAGCCATTAAGTTTTGGTTTCATCACAGAACCTGAAGCACAAAGTTAGTTTGCCCTTTTGTCACTTGCAGTGTTGTCTGCCTCTGTGTTTTGTCATGACATGCTCAAATATACACAAGAAGAAAATTTAGTCGATTAGCATTTCTGACTAGGAGGAGGAAGGGGATAAAAAGGTGAAACAATTTTTTACTTTGAAATTTCTCTATTTCCCAAAGGGTTTGAAAGTGGAAACTTTATCTCTGAAAATGCTGATTTTCTATTTCATAACTTGTGGCTATTTTTTTCCTCAATTAAAATAAAGGAATAATGATTATGGAGTTTAGTCAAAATCTCCCTGCTCAGTAATCTGCCAACCGGTGTTGCTGAACCCACAGCAATAGGGCAACAAGCGTGTATTTCCTCAGGGACATTATTAAACACCCCGCATATCGATTATTGCAAAATTGGCACAGGTCCAGATTTCTAATGCCCCTTGTTCCTTCCGATTCCTGAGCTGTGATTTAGACTAGCATATAAATACTTGACTTAATGTTTCTGCGGAAACATTAACAATATAAAATTTCTAGAAACAAAAGAACATGAAACAGCAGTGGGAAAGAATGGCTTGGCAAGATTGTCAGCCTTAAAGGGCAGATTAATTTATAATCCTTCTAGATTCTGGTGTGCAAGTACAAATTTGCAAAGCATGTAGTTTATAAGAAACATTGTGTAGCTATGCAAGTTTACATATGCTACTGTCAGTAATGTAAGACAGCCTTGAAATTGGATTTTTAGGGATTTTTTCATATGGGAAACAAGATAGTGATAGTAACCAGGAGTTTTCACTACACACATATGTATATAAGTATTCATGAATTTGGAAAGTGGAGGAATTCCAACTGTGTGACTAAGCAGAGTTCTGGGCAGGATACCCAGATATTTCTGTGAGGAGATTTTTCCTTGGTTTAAAATCCTGGGAAAGGAAGAGTAGAGAAGAGAATGAGAAAGGGGGGAAAAAATCCCCAAAGTCATCTATTTTGAAATTACTGAGATTGCTAATAAAAAGGGATGACTAATTGGAAAATAATGTGTGATGGCTATCTGATATGATAAGAGTTGTGAAATAAGTATGCTTTATGCCATTTGGTGGAATGTGTCTTTTTTTTTTTTTTTTTTTTTTTTTGCTTGTAGGATTTGTTCGCAGCTAGTTTATCAATTTAAATGGGAAAAAAAGAAAAAGAATTAAATAAAATGTCAAATGCTAGACATGGAGTGAATACAGTAGCAATGGAATAATAGAAATTTTAAGTAGTGAAATAGAAGACAATGAAGATAAGATAGCAACTGCCTAAGGACCTAACTAGCTTTTCCATGGTTTAACACAAGAATTGCAGAGTGTTTTCTGAATGACTGAAACCATATTTTATATTTTCATATTGTTGGCTGGGAATATGCCTCAACATTAGGATAAAGATTGAAATTGCTTACGTGGGTTTAGAATGATATTTTTATTTTATTATTTTATTTTATTATTTTATTTTATTTTATTTTATTTTTATTTTTTATTTTTATTTTTTATTTATTTTTTATTTTTTATTTTATTTTATTTTATTTTATTTTATTTTATTTTATTTTATTTTATTTTATTTTATTTTATTTTATTTTTATAATGTGGCCTGTAACTTCTTGTTTTCTGTCATGCAGGTCATCAGGAGTGAAGGGACTGAGGGAGCAAAGTTTCGACTCTCTGGTAAGGGAGTAGATCAAGACCCAAAAGGAATTTTTAGAATCAACGAGATCAGTGGGGATGTCTCTGTGACCCGAGCCCTTGACAGAGAAGCAATTGCCAATTATGAGGTGAGTACTCATAGCAATAAGATCTTTGCCTCTCTGTTGGTAATACATACTTTTGAATGCGTATTAGCTGTTGAAAAAAACTGCAGTTACTGAAGGCTAAACTGTGAGACACTGTGCTAAAAAAATTCCAGAAGAACCGTTTATCCTTTGGAAATTGTAAATGTGTGTCTTTTTACATGCAATCAAAGCTCTGCTCTGCTTTCTGCATGTATTTCTGTCACTTATCTTCAGTAGAACTACTGTCTGAAATTCACGTACGCATATGATTTGTGAATACAAAATTATGTTTGGACAAAAGAAGGTATTTTGGGAAGTTGCCTCTAAGGTACTATATGGTTATACTTTCTACTTTTGGTTGTCAAGTTGTCAATGGAATATACTATTCATCTCTATTTTGTAGTAATGGATATTTTTAATTGAGCTGCAGAAGATCCTGTTAATGTCAGCAGATACATTGTCAAACGTGTCTTCAGCAAAGATTTTATAAAGGATTCCTTTCCTTGTCAATAAAAGCAATGTTTCTCCCCACTGAAATACAGCAAGTGATCTTGGAAATCTGTAAAATAACTGCATCATGATGTCTTGAATTGCGTAGTATAAATAGAGGATCTGTCAATTCATGTTTTTTATCTCACTCTGGAAATGTGCACTCAGTTAAATTGTGTCTTGGCACTTCAATATAGACGAGAAGCTGGATTCAAAATGCTCAGTAGATTTGTTCATTGCCACTTCTGCCCCAGCATAGCAGATCTGATCTCTGTATCATCATGCAGAAGGGAGTGTGTACTGCTCCAGCCTATGAGGGGCTTGGGGTCTGCCTGACATTTCTGATTGCTGTCCCCAACCTCTTAGTTTTGTCTTCTGCTGTGTAGTAATTACTACTTTTGCTTTCAGTGCTGTTTCTCTCCTCCTCTGGAAGAGTTTACTAGTTTGATGACTAGTCATGCTTGCCCAAAAAGCATTGCTAAAATGTACCATATGTTGATTTTCAACACTTAAACATCTATTTCTCATCTGGGTTTACAGTGAAATGTATGTTAACCACTTGCATAGGATTTATGGTAGCCACTGCTGTCTTTCTTAAAAGAGAAATGTTGCAGTTTCTCTTTATAATACTGTTCCTCATCTTCATTTTCCAGCTGTTTCCTATTTTATCATAGTGGCTTTCTACCTTAATGTATTGAGTATAAACCTTGGATTTTTTTTTACTGGAAAATCATAGTAGTCTTTTCAGCCTAATGCATCAAACCACAAATGGCCCTCCTATCTGATCTGGCAAAGCATACACTTAAATTAAGACAAAAAACATTTCCCTAGAGAAGCCTTTTTGAAGCAATGCAAATTATATACAAATAGTGCAGTGTAGCAGATTACCCAGAGCAATGCAAATGTATATCCTAATAGGTTGTAGTGCTTCCTAACCTGTTATATAGCACTCTGCTCAGCATGCTCACTGGCATCCTGTTGTGCAAAATGTAGCTGAAAAGTTCTGCAGAAGGAGAACCCTCAACTTGATTTAGTCTGTCTTTGAATCCAGCCTATTGTTTTCCAATAAAGATGTTTCATGGTGTCAGGAAGGCAGTGGGATTTTCTCCTTGATTTCCTTGATACATTGAAAGATAAATTACCAAAAAGACTCAGATTTTTGTCAAGTTTTTTGAAAAAAAATTTAACTTGCTTCCCCTGCCCACAAAGTATTGATTTCCTGAAAGACTTATTTCAAAGCAAAAGGCAAAGAAGAAAAGAATAGATCTCCATGAAAAAGTGCAAGCTCTTTGCAAGCCATCTTACTATCAAATATGTAATCAGTGATGGGGCAAGGATGAAAAAATTAAATTTGTTTGAATCATTCCAGCTACACAGAAGGCTGCTGTGTATCAGCACTGATTTATTTCCTATTCTTAGTGCATATACACTCAAGGGATGAGAATTAAAGCAGATGTTAATAGGGCACAAAATTGAGCTTTGGTGATCACAGTATTTCATAGAACTTTGCAGCTTTTACACATCCATGTACCACAAAGCACTACAAATTATCTAAGGGTATTTAATCTATTCCAAAAAATGTTGTTTTTTCTACCATTGAAGGTTCAAGAGTAGTTTTTGCTGTCTTGTTTATCCTGGAGGAATATTGAAAAGCTTGTAGGACTTTTTCCTCTGATAATTCATTACAAGAGAAAAGTGATTAAATTATAGGGCAACTGAATTCCACTCAGAAAACCATTGATTGTCTGAGTTAATTGCCACTTTCCACTGTTTGTTTCAATTATTTTATTTTTAGTAAAGGATAGAAAAAAATTTCAAAGAGTGAAAAATCTGAGTTGGGGCCTGCTAAAGTCTATCTGCTACAGCTGAGTTGCATGGTAGTTGTGTGTTGAGAAGATTATGCATTAATGCATTAATGACATGAGCCTCTAGCCCCCTTCCCAATACAGACTTATTTGATTCATTTATTATTATTATTATTTAACTCTCTCAAAAGAAGTGTCATGAAGAGCATCCTGACAGGAATTCTCTGGATCAGAGAAAGGAATGGATTTACACTGAGTAGTTTTATTTTGGGGTTGGTTGCCTGTTGGTGCAACTACTAAATAACGGTCTGAAGAAAGGACTTAGGCAGACTATAGTTATATTGTTGAATTGTTTCTGGTTTGTTGAGATAAGCAGGTCACGTAGAGCCCCTACTTAATATAAGAAAAAAGCATTCCGTTTACAAATATGCTATCAAAAATAATGTCCTTAGTTTTCTATCAAGACTTGAATGAATAAAACTGGTTGGAAATTTCAGGGAATGTAAGATTGTTTATCTAATATTAAAAATTGCAGTTATTTAAAACAAATACAGAAATTTAGGGAGGACGTATTTTCTGGTTCAAATCACTGAGGTACGTCCAAAAATTTCTAATAGTCTGGGAAATTCCTGGCACACTTCATTTCTGCTGTCTTTTCTGATTCCAAAAGAACAGGAATTTTATTGACTTTCAGCTGCATCTTTAGGCAATATCAAAAGAATTCAGTCATGCTAATGTCTGACGACAGAACTGAAGGATTCCAATGAATTTGGAAGTCTAGCTGTGTTAAGCATTGAAAGAAAAGACTAGTGAATTGGGAAACAAAGGTTCAAATACGAAGCCAGTGAAGACTGGCTGAGAAACAGAGGTTATGGGGTAACTTGTTAATTGAAAATGTGGAGTTTTTCCAAGCCTCACATTTGCACAGATACTGTATGTTCACAGGCAAAGTGCTTGCATGCAAGTAGAAGCAGATTACCGTGATTGAGATGACAAAAATTACTAAGTTAAAGAACTATGTTTGGGTCTTTATTCAAAGGTTGGATATGTCCAAAAGATATAGGGATAGGAATCCATTAATGTTTTTACAGTTCATATATGATATTTTGGTTAGGCATTCCTTCTTTCCTAGGTATGCCCGAGTACAGGACAAAGACTGAAGCTGTATAAACTCATTTCCTATCACTTCCCATCACCATGTGATCCTTGTAACAGTAAAATCCAGTCCTGTTAAGCATCAGTGGTAATGTGCCATCTAGTCAATGGTTGGCTTTCAGTCAGATGTCAAGACGCTAAAGGATGGTAACCATCATTGGTGGGCTTTTTTATAACTGCAGGGTGTGTGGAAGGGAAATGATCAGAAAGCGATCCTTTGCAAACACAAAATGAAGTTTGATAAAATCATTCAGCGACAGTGTGCAAATTAGAGCTGTGAACAAATTTACATAGGTAATTTGAACTGTTAATGAAGAGTTAGTTTTAATTATTTTTTTAAGTGAAGAGCTTTATTTGCTTTAGAAAATACTTCACAAGCAGAGGTGAGAAATCAGTTTTCAGCTTTTTTTTTTTTATATATATAATGACATATCACACTTCTATGAAAGGATGCCTTGCAACTGTTAGACTGAGATACTCAGAAAAGTTATGTTAAAAGTACTGAAAAGTAAATTAGGACTATTCCCTATGTATTACTGTTTCTATACATTGGATAACAAGTAGACTGAGAACAGGCTGAAGGATTCAGACCAATGAACAGCAACCAAATCTTTAGCGTGAACTGCATCAGTTCAAGTTACATGAGACTGCTATTTCTGTGACTGAGACAAACATTTACAGAGATGCTTGCAGTCCTACTGGATTCTATTTCTGTGCTTCATAAGGAACAAAAAAATGGAAATGCTTCAGAGGTTTGAGGAAAACTGGCTCAGTCAGGTGCCTAGGAATATTTTCTGACAAAGATGTTCAAGTACTTGAACGTATTTTTGCATATAATGAAAGCGGTATAAAAACCTAGAAGTAAACAACTGTAATTTATCTTGTACAGAAAAATGAATTTGTCTTGTGTTTAAGTTGAGTATACTGCAGCCACATCCTTTTCAGAATGATTTAACATACCCTGATACTGAATCTCTGCAATATGCAGCATGGAGATAGATAGCGCACACGTGTGTTTCTCTCTCCCTTTGAGAATGAAAACCACAGATTTGCTTCTAATTTCAAGACAGGTCTAAACTATGTTTTTATCTTGGTTATCTGCACTGGCAGAATTGTATGAAATTTAAGTGATCTGCTCTGTCTTGAGCTGAAACCAATTATTGCTGGGAAAGGTCAGACCTCCGTCATCTCCCAGTAATTTCCTGAAAAGGAGAAGGCACTCAGCATTCCATGGGAGGAAGGGTTTTGGTCTTGTGGGGATGTAAATTTCAGTCAAATGTATTTGACTTAATTAAAACGTAAATGATACACAGAGAAAACATAATGGTGCTCCCAAACTACATGTGTTATATCCAAAAAACATGGAATCGTGGCAGAGTACAAACTTGTCAGGGAAGAATCTTGATCATTTGGCAATGAGAAAAGATTTTACTTGGAAAAAAAAATAGCTATTGAATTTGATTATTAATAAGCTAGAAACTTATTTGTATAAATAGGCTCTAGTTAGATACGCTGACATACAGCTAAAAATTCTGGAAGTGAAAATGATCTCTG